TTTGAATATGGACTAAATATCAGATGACATAAGAGAATTATTGTTAATATTCTTAGTTATGATAATGGTATTATGTGTGTAGAAAGATGTACATCTTGGGACCAGCAGGTCGCATGGTGTTTAGGTTGCTGGACTCCTACATAGCCAACTACAGTTCAGGTCTCGGACCTAGAGGCTTGAAAATCATGCTGGGCATGTGTGCATGTGTGCCCAAAATCCCAGGAGGACAATGAAGGAGAAGGGATTGTGGTGTGGCCATGCACCCTGTGGGGTGATTTCTCACTTTCTCTTTCATTGTCTCCCTCATGCCCTATGGCAACAGACTAAAAATACACACACACACACACACACACACACACACACACACACTTCCCTATTTTTTAAAGGATTATTTATTTATTTAACTCCATTTGCTGTTATTATAATTTTTTAATTTGACCAGAGAGAAAGTGAAAGGGAAAGCGGGAAAGCGAGAAAGCAAACTGCCAGATCCGGGACTTGAACCACGGTCAGCCAGGTGGGAATCCAGCACCTTTAACCACCATGCCACCTGCCAACATCACATCTCCTCTATTTTTTTTTTTGGAGAGATTTTCACCGTAGGGCGCGTGCGCTCGCCAGACAGACAGAGAGAGACATAGAGACAGAAAGCGAGAAATCACCCCCCAGGGGGGATGGTCACGCCGCAATCCCTTCTCCTCCATTCTCCTCCCGGGATCTTGGGCACGCACGCACACGCGCCCGGCGTGAGATTTAAGCCACCGGGTCCGAGACGCGAACCGCGGTCGACTACGTGGGAGTCCAGCGACATAGCCATTACACTAACTGCTGGTTCCCGACATCTCCCCTATTTTTAAGAGTTGCATGTTAAGGGGATGGCAGGTGGCATGGTGATTGAGAGCACTGGATTCCCACATGGCCAACGGCAGTTCAAGTCCTAGACCTGGTGGCTTACTTTCTCACTTTCTCTTTCTCTCTCTATCTCTGTCTGGTCAAAGTAAAATAAGTAAATAAATAAATAAAGTTAAATAAAATAATGCTTTAAAAAAACTTTTAAAATAAGTTGAATGTTGAAGTATTCAGGAATGCAGGTCATAATGATGGAGTCTTATATTCAAATGAGTCAGCAAAAAAATCAAATAAGTAAAGAATAAAGCAAGAATGATAATATCTTAACTACTGAATTTAGGTGGTAGGTGTATGTATAATCACTATAGTACTTTTTTGACTTTTCTGAACATCTGAGTCATAAGTTGAGAAAAAATAAAAATTAATTGGAGAAATAATTTATATAACAGTCATGTTTTAGGAAGTAATAAATGCATTTTATGACTGAAAGAGTATTTGATATATTTGAATAAGGACATCTATGACATTTACTATTAAGTGAGAAGTTCTTAGGTGAGTGAATGGAAGGGTTCAAAAGGAAATCCTATGGAAAAGTAGGAACTGCAAAAAGAAGAGTTTCTACAGAGAAAAGGACAAGAATCAGCAATGGAAAAAATTAAGATGGAAATATGGAAGGTCTTGTCATCAGTTTCGTTTTGAGATAAATAATTAAATTATATTGATCTTCCCAACCTTAACTCTTACTTTGTGTTTTAATTTTTAAAAGACCTCTTGTATTTTAGACAAAACTCGTGTATCATGGGAGAGATACTTAAATCATCCATCCCCAGGGTCAAATGCTGTTGCCAAATCTCAGGTCAGGTCTATACAAATTAGTAGGTTAGTAACTTTCCTGTGAATCTGTAATGGTCAATGGTGGAACAACCAGTGGAATTTCTAAGTGTGCTGATTAAAGTCATCTTAATAGTAATGACTGACTACTGAATCCCATCAGTCACCTGGTCATCAGCTTTTATTACACAAGAAACAATAAATCAATTAAAAAAGGTGAGTTCAGTCAGGTCATGTAAACACTGTCACCATTTTTCTGGAATTAGATCCTTGTCATAATTCAGGAAATACAAATACACTGGCTATAAAAACAGAAAAGATTCATTATAAACGTCCTCTTAAATTTTAATTGTAAAGGTTTGAAACATGCCTAAGTCATTGCATATAAGTTTATTGTAGTTTCAAGCTTAGAACCTCATTTCAGAGCTACATTTTACTTTTAAAGCTGAGTCAGAACTCGTATGATGCTGGGAATAAAAATCTAATGTTGCCTTTCAAAGCCAGTCTAACAGTATGTCCAGGAGGAAATAAAAAACAGCCCCATGATTTTTTATTTTTTTTTACCTACCCATTAGGAAAAGAGGGAGCCATATAATTTTCCTTAGGAGTCTAGCAAGTTCTACCTGTTCTTTGCGTCTATTTCTTCACTTGTAAAATAGAAATAACATACAATCATGCATCACTTGACAATGGAGATATGTTCTGAGAAATGTGTCATTAGGTGATTTCATTGTTGTGCCAACATCATAGAGTGTATTTATGCAAATCTAGATGGTATAATCTGCCACATCTCTGGGCTATCCATCACAGCCCAGTATAATCTTCTGAGATGACTACCACATATGTGGCCCATTGCTGGCTGAAATGTCATTACGCAGTACATGACAGTATCTGTAGAACAGGGCTACCAAACCTGTTCTGTCTATCTTCAAGGGCTGAGAAAGGGTGAGTTGAATATCTTGAAGACTATCTTCAAGCAAAATAAATGACTTTAAAAATATCATTTGCTCAATTTACATTTTACTTTGGTTTATGACTACTCTTATTCTATGGTACAAGATACAAGAAAAAAAAAATGGCTAAGATGCCATGTTTACTACCCAGACATCTAGTAACAGACAACCTAGACCTTATCTTATATGTAGACTATTGCCAAAAATATTTACTTGAATCTACTGAAATGGAGATTTAAGTACATTCTAAGATGAAAATTGGTCTGAGCTTTTGAAAATGGTCAATATATATAAGATCTTAATAAATGCAGGAAGTGGGACCAGCAGTTAGCATAATGGCTATGTCACTGAACTCCTATGTAGTCGACCATGGTTCGAGTCCCGGACCTGGTGGCTTAAACTCACACTAGGCGCGTGTGCATGTGTGCCCAAGATCCCAAGAGGAGAATGGAGGAGAAGGGATTGTGGCATTGCCATCCCCCGTGGGGTGGGGGTGATTACTTGCTTTCTATCTCTGTGTCTCTCTCTGTCTTTCTGGCGAGTGCATGCGCCCTATAGCAAAAACCTCTCCAAAAAATAAATAAATAAAATAAATGCAGGAGGTGAAATGTGCAATTTAGATGAAAGGAAACAAAAGAAAGTCATGGTGACTAGATGTAATTTGTGACACATGATGGCAGCCTGGATCAAGTAATAAAAATTAGAACATGTTGGGACAACTAGGGCAATTTGCTCTGTGTATTAGACAATATTGTATCAATGATAAATTTCTTTTTTTTTTTTTTTAAGACAGTACAGAGCACATGTGAGGGACATAGGTGAGGTACATAGGTCTTCATTATTCAACTTTTCCATACATTCGAAACTTTCAGAAAAAAGTATGTCAGTTTTTCATTAATAAATCTATACATTTCATAAACTTTATTTTCTAAATCAAAATATTTATTTATTTATATTATTTATTTATTATTAATTTATATTATTTATTTATATTATTTAAGAGCAACACTACTTTTTTTAATAAAGCAGTTAAACTGGTGAACTTAGTAACATAATAAAAGGCTACACTTAAGGATTTTCTTCAGGAAAAAGCAGTCTAAGTATTTCTTAAGATTTATTTAATTTCATTTATTGTATTATTATTGTTTTTTCAATTTGACCAGACAGAGACTGGGAGTGGGCTGGGGAGTGAGAATAAAAATAAGCTGCCGAGTATGGGACTTGAACCACAATTGGCCATGTGGGAGTCCAGAGCCTTAACTACCACACCACCTGCCACCCCCATAAGCAGTCTAATTTCTAAAAGCAAGAAAAAAAGTAGACGAAGATATTATTGCCAAAAAAGATCATGGGAAAAAACTAGAGTCCTTAAAGATTAGCAGACTGGTAGTGACATGTTTTCAGAAATACAAATTGTATAAAAGGGCATATAAGTTTGAATATTTCTTTAAAAGGAAATTTCAAAGACAAGGAGAAAACATATAGCTAACAGATATTGATGGCTTATATTTTATCAGTCATTTCAATTCAACCACTCCAAAGGCAAGCAAGTCATCAAAACTGGAAACAATTAGGTGCAGTCAGTCCAGAGGCAGAAAACAAGGTAATGTGGTCTAGAAAAGCCATGAAGTACTCTAGAGTAGAAATGCTACAATAGGGGTGAAAGAAAAATCCTCTAATAAATACGAGACTGGGACAACAGATGAAGATAAATTGAACACAATGGGATAAAAGAAACTAAGTCTGCCTTATATTGAAAAGTTTTCCTACAGAATTTTAAGTGAAAAAAATCAACTAAATGTTAATAGTCTCTTTTGTATCAAACCAGTAAATACGTATTTGATAGATTCTCTGTGAAGTGTAGTACTGCTTATTAAGAACAGTGTAAGCATTCACCTATTCTAAGTGGACTATCAGGGTTTTCCTGCCCTGACAGGTTGGACAAGTGCCCATCAATACCACAGGAAATCACAAAGGACAGACGGTGATATCTTTTTACAGGTTCATTCGCATATTAACTAGAAAGAGCATCACTATAACATGAGCTAACAATTTATGTTTATAAAATCTCTTAAATAAATTCATGAAAAATTTAAATACCCCGTTAGTGTGGAGTTAGATTCTCTGCTTTAAAACCTATATCCTGGTATAGATTTCCATTACTGTTTTCTTAGGAAATAAATAGCACTTCCTTTAATAGACAAGCTTTATACTGGAAAAAAAAACCATTAAATTATCTTTACAAATAAATCTATTTTTAGCAATCCTTTCGTTTTCTTTATAAGATGACAACAATGTGAATTGCACAGGCAAGAACAAACTTCATAAAATGTTGTATTGTTATTTTCAAAATAACATTTCACTTACCTTGTTAATTGGTACTACCAAAGTTGGGTCCACTTTAGCTTCAATCTCTTCTGGACTATAAAAACAATGGAGTTTACCCCCTCTCAAAACACAATACAACCTTCTCCAACTAATCAGACCTCCTACTGTTTGCTGGAAAAGAAAATCAAGAAAGCATTAACATTAAATCTTTATCACCTCAAGGCTAAGTTCAACAAAATTCTTAAGTTATCAAAGTACATTTGTTTTTTAGAACTTTAAAAATGTAACAGAATTATCCACTAATTTGCTGTATAAGTCGTCTAACTGCCCACAATCTAACAGTAAGTTAATATTAGACCTAAAATTAGGTTGGAATTCTTAAAAGCACTAAGTAAAAAGGAAGTGATGACTATCACATAATTTCTACAGAAATAAAATTACGAATCAATGCAGTTTAAGAAAATCTAATCTATTATAAGTTAGTGCGGGACCCACCTCATGTGGAGGTAAAGGCACTGGACTCAGACATGGCTGATCATGGTTTGAGTTCCAGACCCGAGGACTTAAAAATCATGCTGGGTGCATGTGCATATGTGACTAAAATCCCAAAGGAATAATGGGAGAGGAGGGATTGTGGCATGGTTATTCCCTCTGGGGTGATTTTTCACTTTCCCTCTGTCTGTCTGTCTCTCTCTTAGAAACACACATCCCCTACAGCATAAACCTAAGTAAAAAAAAATCAGAATTCCATAGCAATTCATCAAATGACTCAGGACAACTGTAAAAATAACTTTCATTGTACAAAATATAATTTCCCCTTACTGTTCTTGAACATTGAAAAATGTTGACTACTCTGTAAGGATACAAATTTTCTTTCCTCCTAATGGAATCTTTTAGAAAAAAACTATTGATTCATTGAAACCCACAATTAATTATTTACTGACTATAAATAACTAGAGTTATAAATAAATCAGGAGTAGGTGGCATAGAGGCAGCCTTGGAAGCTCAGAGGCCTACACTGTGCCAAAAGCTATCTGCCAGCTAGGCCCTTATGTGAAAGGCGTTGAGCAGCTCAGAGTTTCCACGAGGAGTCCTCTATGGCTGATTATCCATTACTGCGATTAATGAAGCAGAGGAGTAATAGTTACTTACACAACAAACTGCATTAGACCCCTCCTCTTGCCACCCTCCTTACCCTTGTACCACCCCCAAGGCTTATGTCTGATAACATTTAGAAACCTGACCTTGAAAAAAAAAGACTTGAAAAATACTTTTTGGTATTAGAATGTCAAACAACTGCCAGTATATTAAGATTTAAATTGGAGTTATAGTTGTGGTAGGATATAGGATAGTTAAAGTCCTCTAACCTGCTGGTTAAGAAATCCTCCAAATGCATCCTCAGTCATACAAGCTGGCTGGGCGACTAATCGGCAGCACATACTGCCATATAAGGGAAGCCAAAACGAAGACTCCTCTGTTTAAAGGAGAGAGAAAAAAATTAAGTTACTATGTTAACTTAAGGTCACTATATATTTTGATTTTTTCCAATTATTTTTTGCTTTATACAAGAATACATTTTTAAATTACTTTTATATAAAAATCTACCCTATTCAAATGCCAGGACTATAGGTAATACAAATCAGATATGAGAAAGTACAAAGAATAGGACGGTAAACTGAGAGTTCAGAGCATACTATCCATTGGAATAAATATGGAACATTTAGTCTCTTGGTCTCATTTGATCTGTGAGTAATTACTCAACAGAAGATCTTCAAGAGAATATAAGTGACCTCATGTAACATAAAACATCCTAATAACATGATTTATGTTTGCCAAATTCTATTTTACTCTGATTTTCATTATAATAATTAGCAAGGTGAACCCCTGAATAGAACATTATTTCAGAGAACTTAAGATAATTTAGTAAACCTTTTGGCCCATCCTCTTTCCCCTTCCCTTACTGAACAAGTCAGTCATAAGTTCTTAGGTAAAGCTGACAAGATGGAAAAGCAGTTGGGTGTGCTAGAACTGGGTGTTGGAGCCAGGCAGGACAAGGAGGGTGAAAAGAAGGGCTGCTGTATGAGACCTGGGCTGAGATGGCCATCTGGCAGGGGCACAGTCTAGACTGGGGAGTGTGTGCGGAGCAGGGGGGATGAGCGAGTGTGCTGTGGGGGAGGAGCATCCCTACTTAGTACATTACAGCCCAAGGAATGTGTGGGGTGGCTTGGTGTGGGGAGTCAGGGTCCACGCACAGTGAGGAGAGCCTTTATGCAGAGTGGCTACTTGATGTGAGGTGTCAGAACCAGAGCAGGAACAGTGCTCACATCTCAAGGGGAAGCCTAGCCAAGGGAGTCAGCAACGAGGAAGTGAGGAAGCTATCACACACAGGGTGACTTAGCGCAATGTGTCAGAGCTGTAAGCTGAGTGAAAAGAGAACTCAAAGTTCCTTGGAGAAACAGTTGATTTGAGGAAAGGACCAGGGAAAGTACAGAATGAGTTAGAGTATCTTGCTATGGTATAAAGCAAGGAAGTGCTCAAAGAATGATTGGGGACATGTCAAAAAGACACAGAAACCATTCTGAATGGGTTCCAACTGGCCAAACTGGGGACGGTTTGGACCTCAAAATAAACAATGGTATTAACAGATTACAATATACTGTTTAATGAAATAGAAAAACATAAATGCATACTTAGATAAATAAATTGATGAATAATCTGAAAGTCTAATAAGCAGCAGTATACAGCTGCCCCTGACTTACAATGTTTCAAGCTTACGGAGGGTTTATTGGGAAGTAACTATCTTAGAGGAGCATCAAAGTAGTCCCCTCACTACAAAATACATATAAATTACAAAGAGAGAAATAAAAGAGTGACTGTACAGCAGAGAGTTTGGCAGACACTACCTTAATCAAGGGATTAAAGTGAACATCATTAGTAGTGAGATGAATCAAAATTATATACCACCTGATAGGATGCAATGAGAACATGGCATCCCTTCTGTGATAATTTTGCCAAATGTGCATATCCTGAATTTTATCCCAAGAAAACATAAGACAAATCCAAATTGAGGACCTTTTACAAGACAACCAACTACTGGGTCGTTGGAAAAGTCATGACGCAGTTTTGCATACAAAAATGTGACACGATTTTTCCAACCACCCAATATAATCTTTTGAAATGCCATGGTCATAAAAGTCAAAGGAAGAACTGGTCCAAGTTGAAGGATACTGAAGAATCATGATAATTAAATGCAACTCAATTCTGCACTGGACCCTCTTCCCATTAAGATCATTACTGAGGGGCTGGCAAGTGGCATGATATTTAAGGAACTGGGCTACCACATGGCCAACTGCAGTTCAAGTCCTGGATCTAGCAGCTTGCTTTCTCCCTTTCCCTTTCCCTTTCTCTCTCTGCTTCTCTTTGGTCAAATTAAACAAATAATAAATAAATAAATAAATAAATAAATAAATAAATAAATAAATAAATAAATGAATAAATAGATAGATAGATAGATAAGTTCTTAGAAAAAAAGATCATTATTGGAACAATAAGTGACACTTAGAGTCTGAGGATTAGACAGTAGTAATGTTTTAATATTCATTCACTGAGTTGGATAGTTGTGATGTAGCTGAATGACCTTCCTGATAGTAGAAAATACATGTGATTTATTTGAGGGTAATAAAACATATGAGCAACTTGCTCGTGTATATTTTTGAAGAGAAAAAGATCTGGACACTCAACTTTCAACTTTTCTATAAGTTTGAGATTGCTTTAAACAGTTTTTTTCCAAAAATATTAAGATACTCCTTTAATGAACTATGCAGGAAGGTATATAGCCTTCATATCTGAATATTGGCAAAGCATTGACTATTTTGTTTTCTGTGCATGAGGGTATAAATAAAAAGCCAACATGTGGCTCTTAGTTTACATTGGCTCACACAAAAATTATTTTTAAAGTTTTCACTTCATCCCTGTTGGTAGTACCTATAAAATAAATGGCCATTGGCTGTAACTATCATATACCTAAAAACTTCAGTAACTCTGGCAAAAAATAATAATAATAATAATAATGTAGGTATTATTATAATAGGTGCAAGAAAGTCACATCAGTTGATGGAGAAAAAAAGAAAAAGAAAAAGAAAAAAAAAGAAAAGACCAGCCCAAATGAAGAGTACACAATGAAACAAAAATGTTCATAAAGACTTACTACCCAACATTCTACTATGGAATAACACACAATGAATTTTTTGAGACTATTAAAATCTTACTAATATTTTGTTAAAGCTGCTATTTTCTAGAAATAAAGGCATTACCTGGGAGAGATAAATCCATAAACACAATATATGCAATGATTTCAAAATGCAAACAAAAGTATATAAATGAGAACTACCTTTCCTATAAGGCAGGAAATGAAATAAATATTCTATAATATTTATGCATCTGAGTAATACATCTAAAATCGACTTTGTGATTTATAAATTTAAAGTTTGAAAGCAAACTTCTTTATATAGGCAACTGCAGATTTATGAATGGCTAATGTTTTAAAGATCTGTAAGTTAGCTGTTTTAAAAGTTAGAATGCACTGCCTAAAGAAATGGAATCATAAATGATAAATACATCCTCGGACCAGTCCAAAAATTTTTTTCCGACCATATATGTACCTGAGACATAAATACCACATGTAACAATGCAGAGTTTCTCTGGTAAAATAAGCTCAGATTTCATGGCATGCCAAGAAAAATAATTCCTTCCTCACTGCAGTCCCTGGAAAGGGATATTGAATGCAAAATTCCTAGCTCCACAGTCCCCTTCTCACATACCAGGAATCACCTGTTACTTCTACCCTAGGTTTCTTCACAGCTCAGGGCCAGGGTGGAATAAAATATACAGTCACAGTTTTTCTGCACTTCTGATAAGAAATATGGCATCTAAAGCTGGTCACTTCACTTAGCAGAGTGTCAATTTCTCATTTTAAAAAATGCCACCTATCTTATGTAGGGGGATTGTTATGAAAACCCCAAGTAAGATCTCGTGTATATAATCTGTCACTGTGTCTGGCACACAATACGTGCTCTTCATGATTTCATATGCGGGGTAGTCTCACGCCCCAAACCACACCCTGTTTCTCAATGCTGCTACTCAGTCCCTGTGCAACTCATTAATCAAAACATTTAATTCTCCTTTCCTAACGAAGGGAAGTACGAGACAAGATGAAATGAAACAGGAAATGAAAGAGCAGTTTAACTTTATTACTTAAAGGTTTTATCTCATTCATCCCCAGTTTCGAACGGAGAATAAAAAGAGTTTAAAAAGGATGAAAAGAACAAAAGCATAACATCGGCAGGAGAAAGAAGCCAGATAACATCTCAGTTTCATGTGAGTCAACACATGTGGTTTCATTATCCTACAAAAAGTATCAAGATTTCTTGATGACAAATATAAACTTTAAGATACCACTGGGGCTGTTTCCTTAAATTAACGAGAACAATACAATCAATGTGCAATTTTAAAAATTCTTGTATTGCCTCCTGATTTTACAATATTTGTTAGATAGTGACATAATTTAGGAAAATCCATTATATTAATATAGAGATTTATATAAATAAGTTAGAAGATGACATCTTCTATTCGAAAGAAAAAATTATAATAAGCTTCTTTTTCAAAATATAACTGATTTGTAATATTTTATTTTACATATACTTCCAGGAACACATAAACAGTTAGGTGCACAGTTAGGTGGTTCGTAAAATTTGTTCTGTGGAGGGCCAGCACCTGGCATAGTGATTAGGTCACTGGATTCCCAAATGGTCGACCACAGTTTGAGTCCTGGACTCAGTGGCTTGAAACTCACGCAGGGTTTTGAGTCCTGGACTCAGTGGCTTGAAACACAGGCAGGGGGTGTTCATGTGTGTCCAAGACCCCAGAGAATGGAGGAGAAGGGATTATGGTGTGGCCATCCTCCCTGGTGGGTGATTTCTCACTTTTCCCCTCACTGTGTCTTTGTCTCTCTTGCTTGCTCTGGCGAGTGCAGGTGCCATAAGACAAAAACCTTTAAAAAAAAAATTGGGAGCAACAGATGGTGTAATGGCTACATCACTGGACTCCTACATGGTCAACCATGGTTAGAGTCCTGGACCTGGCAGTTTAAAAACTCACATCAGGCACGTGTGCGTGTGTGCCCAAAATCCCAACGGGAGAATGGAGGAGAAGGGATTGCGACATGGCCATCCCCCCAGGGGGGTGATTTCTCACTTTCTGTCTGTCTCTCTGGTGACAACATACGTCCTATAGCAAAAATCTCTTAAAAAAGAAAAATTTGTTCTGTGGAACCTACACACACCAGCATCAGTGGTCTAATTTCATTCTACGCAGCTTCTGTGCTGATTGTCGGTGAGTATTTTGCTAAAGGAACATCTAGCTATATCTTACCAAACACTAAAGGCAACTAAGGAATCACTATAAAACTTAATGCTC